CAGTGTAGAAAAATGAAAAGATATAATAAAATATTTACAAAAATGTGAGGGGTGTACTCACTTCTGTGAGATACATACATATATATATATATATATTAGTCAACAGTTGAAGTGGATCAAAAAAGTTCATCAAAGTTGTCCTAAGACAAGAACGCATTTTGGTTTTAGGTTAACTTTGATGAAAGGTTTTGATCCACTTCAAATATTGACTAGTGTATATAGTTAGAGAGAGAGAGCGAGAGGTGCATGAATTCATGTATATTTGTGTGTGCCTAACTGTGCATTTGTTCTGCTCACCTTTGTGGACAGACAGTCTAACAGCAGGTCTAAACAGCAAACGGCTCCTTCTACAGCATCTGATCTCTGTACAGGCATCCAGCAGAAAGCCCTGCTGCAGCCGTCCCATGGGAAATCTCTGCCCTAGAAACACACATACACCTATTAGCACATGTTTGAGAATAATCTTCATCTAAAATGCTTTTTTTATTACAGACCGTGTGTAGGATGAGAATGTGAGCTTCATCCAGAACATCTGCGTTCACCACCTAAACACAAACATGCACATTTAGGGGACTTTAAGTATATTTTAGAGGAAGATCCTTATGAATTGAAGACAGTACAGAGAAAACTCTATTCTGGTAATTTATCATGAACACAACTATTACAGTGCTGAATAAGATTACAAATATGAAATCTACAGGTGCATCTCAATAAATTAGAATGTCGTGGAAAAGTTCATTTATTTCAGTAATTCAACGCAAATTGTGAAACTCGTGTATTAAATAAATTCAATGCACACAGACTGAAGTAGTTTAAGTCTTTGGTTCTTTTAATTGTGATGATTTTGGCTCACATTTAACAAAAACCTACCAATTCACTATCTCAACAAATTAGAATACTTCATAAGACCAATAAAAAAAACATTTTTAGTGAATTGTTGGCCTTCTGGAAAGTATGTTCATTTACTGTACATGTACTCAATACTTGGTAGGGGCTCCTTTTGCTTTAATTACTGCCTCAATTCGGCGTGGCATGGAGGTGATCAGTTTGTGGCACTGCTGAGGTGGTATGGAAGCCCAGGTTTCTTTGACAGTGGCCTTCAGCTCATCTGCATTTTTTGGTCTCTTGTTTCTCATTTTCCTCTTGACAATACCCCATAGATTCTCTATGGGGTTCAGGTCTGGTGAATTTGCTGGCCAGTCAAGCACACCAACACCATGGTCATTTAACCAACTTTTGGTGCTTTTGGCAGTGTGGGCAGGTGCCAAATCCTGCTGGAAAATGAAATCAACATCTTCAAAAAGCTGGTCAGCAGAAGGAAGCATGAAGTGCTCCAAAATTTCTTGGTAAACGGGTGGCTCCTTTTGCTTTAATTACTGCCTCAATTCGGCGTGGCATGGAGGTGATCAGTTTGTGGCACTGCTGAGGTGGTATGGAAGCCCAGGTTTCTTTGACAGTGGCCTTCAGCTCATCTGCATTTTTTGGTCTCTTGTTTCTCATTTTCCTCTTGACAATACCCCATAGATTCTCTCTGGGGTTCAGGTCTGGTGAGTTTGCTGGCCAGTCAAGCACACCAACACCATGGTCATTTAACCAACTTTTGTAGCCAAATTCCTTGACACGTCTTTGTGTGGTGGCTCTTGATGCCTTGATCCCAGCCTCAGTCCATTCCTTGTGAAGTTCACTCAAATTCTTGAATCGATTTTGCTTGACAATCCTCATAAGGCTGCGGTTCTCTCGGTTGGTTGTGCATCTTTTTCTTCCACACTTTTTCCTTCCACTCAACTTTCTGTTAACATGCTTGGATACAGCACTCTGAATAGCCAGCTTCTTTGGCAATGAATGTTTGTGGCTTACCCTCCTTGTGAAGGGTGTCAATGATTGTCTTCTGGACAACTGTCAGATCAGCAGTCTTCCCCATGATTGTGTAGCCTAGTGAACCAAACTGAGAGACCATTTTGAAGGCTCAGGAAACCTTTGCAGGTGTTTTGAGTTGATTAGCTGATTGGCATGTCACCATATTCTAATTTGTTGAGATAGTGAATTGGTGGGTTTTTGTTAAATGTGAGCCAAAATCATCACAGTTAAAAGAACCAAAGACTTAAACTACTTCAGTCTGTGTGCACTGAATTTATTTAATACACGAGTTTCACAATTTGAGTTGAATTACTGAAATAAATGAACTTTTCCATGACATTATAATTTATTGAGATGCACCTGTATATTCATTTAAGGATGTACAGTATACAGAATTGTCCATTTCTATTTTAATATATCCTAAACAGTTATTTATTTCTATGGTGGCGTTATTATTTCTATGATATTAATAACAATTTTAAACAGTACAAATTTCAAGAAGACTGAAGTAATGATGCTGAAAAGGAATAAATTACATTTAACGTAGAAAACAGTTCTTTTAAACTGTAATAATATTTCACTGCATTAATGATTTATTGCATTTTGAATCAAATAAATGCAGTCATGGTGAGAATAAAAAGCTTTTTTATATTTAAAAAACTTAATTATTTTAAACTTTTGATCGGTAGTATAAATCTTTAAGGATCTTTATCCCATATGGGTCCTTTAGGTTCAAGAATTTCCTTTGGCAATCCTGCACACATCCTTTAGGATTCCTCTCCAAACCTCCAACCATCTGCACACACACAGAGCCCTCTATTGTAATGTGAAGCTCACGCTGTATCCGGCTCTGGCGCTCAGGTGTTCTGCAGCCACCAGCAGGGCGTTCAGTGTGGCCCCACCGCTGCCCAGCCGGGCGTGAGGGTCAGGAACGGTCAGCAGCAGGGCATCCTCCGGGAGAACACCACGCTTCTGACGCACCTCCAGCTCTGAAACACACACAAACCTCATGAGATCTACCTACACCTGGTCTGGAGATCTAGACCCTTTTACAACCAAGTACTGTGGTGGTTCCATGGTACGGTGATAGCATCAGATAGTAATACCACGGTACTTTGATGGCATCAGATGATAATACCATATAGTAATTTGGTATAATAATATGGCACCTAAATTCATGTACTTAATTTAAGATACTTTAAAGAATACTTTGGTATTACCATAATATAAAGTCCCAAACAACCCAGAGTAATACTATAGTACTTTTCTTTTTTTTGTAATTATCTATGTATTTTAAACATTATGTTATTGTTTCGTGACGTTCCAAGGCTGCCCAAATGGATTCAATAAAAACTCAAAGAAATGTACATATACCCTCTTTTTAATAAATCAGCACAGGCATACGATGAGAATAAATGATGAACTCACCTCTCTGGAAGGCATAAACACTGTCTCTATGTTGACATGTGAGCACGATAACTGTCCACTTCAGCAATCCTTTATCTGCCATCCTGGCGTGCTTTATTTCTTATTCTGTGACCAACAAACTGGCGCGTGCAAAAAGCAGAAGCGAACAGCGCCCGGATCCGATTTATTCGCCATCTGTCACAGGATTACAACTCAAGTTAAACGTTAACTACCTCATTCGTGCTCTCCGACCCCAAAACAGTGAACGCAACACTTCCGGACTACAAAGCAGCTTCTGGACTACAATCTGACTACAGGCACGGTGCGCTGGGAAATGTAGTTTTAATGTAATCTAGGTTTAATAATATTGACATGAATATGGTTATATGGATAGCAACGAATAAAATCGGTCAACAATGCCTAATAATATGGTTAACTTGGGGTACCTAAAACTAAATAATAATAATAAAAAAAGCAGGGGGTAAAAAGCGATTTTAGGAAGAAAGAGAACTAGAGATTTCTTACCCGAATCATTTTTCTTGGAAATTACAGTTTCAAACAATTGTAAACTAAAATAATAACAGTAATAAGTTTGTCTTTTGATTGCAAAATAAGTTTGGCTCTTGATTATAGCATAAATAAAAAAAATAAAAATACAAATTAACTCAATTTCTTACATGAATCTAAGAAGAAAAAGACGAAAAAAGGCTTACCTGAAATCAAAACTGCTAGTGCTTTGAATCAAATAAGCTCACTTTTCATAGACTTCAGCTTACATATTAATTTTCCTAAAAACAGCCAATATGAATGTAACATGCATTTCATAAATTAAAAAGACAGTTAAAGAACTCCTTTTTTATTTATTGAAAACATTATAAAATATGAACTCAGTTGTTCATTTCTATGTAACATGTTTACATGAACCACTATACGCAGAGGCAGACAGATCATCAAATGGTCCCACAAAGATTTCAGAGAGAGATAATCCTGATCATTCGGACGAGAACATATACTGCGATTTTAACTTTCCCCTCATAGTTAAATCAAAGCGAACCCTAAACACCTTCAGTAACAGCTCAGGCATTGGCGCTGAAGTCAAACTAGTGCTAGAAGTTTACATTCACAGTAAGATTATTATGGCGTTTGATACATCAGATCAGGCCGTTTTTGGACTTGCACATTATCAGAATACAGACGCACTACCACGCCACAACAGCACACAACCCCACTCACTGTGACCAGATACACGAACGGCCCAATACACTTACCGCATAAACTTTGGGATGACTTCCTGATGATTTTATTTTTTTTTTATCTGTGGTTTCCCTGCAGAAATAAACACAGCATCAGCATGATGAATGTTTTGGCCGTTATGGTCTCGTGCACACATTCACGCATGCAAACGAAAAGTAAAGTTCTTCGATTTTGGTCCAGTCATGGCACTGACTCGTGTTTAACAGGTCAGAAGGATTGTCCTTGTGTGAGGTGCTTGTGTAACAGGCACGCTAACTCCCTTTAGCATCCTAAGCATAGCAGAAGGACACAGCAGATTAAATAATTACATTCTTATAGCTTTTTAAATATAGTGTTGTAGCTCAAGCAGGATGTTTCCTGTGTTCCTACCCACTAAATGTAACTTAAAAACAATAGTTTTATTCATAAATGGCTGTATGTGCACTTCCTCTACCGTTAGTTCACTGCATAGTGTTCTGCATCGAAATGTGTTTTCCTGCATAGCACCGATCAATAAACCCAAAACCAGAGGGACAGTGAACCCCGAACCCTAAATGCCTCACCTATGTAACAGCTACAAAGACATATTTTTCCTAAATATACACAACAACCCTCTCCGCAGGGAGAGAAAATGATGGCATCATCTCTCTGGATGCCGCTCGACAGACACCATGAGCGTTGGTATGATCTGAACAGGATTATAAACACAAACGTGTGTCCAGTTGCGATGTGTAGTGCACGGCTGTTTGTGTGTGGAAGGATGGATTCATGGCTTCCTGTGTCGCACCGTGTCCATACTGCCGTTTAGTTTGCTACGGCCTGATGTGGCTAAATTGCTGCCGTCAGCGTGTCCAGGGACTCTGTCCCGCTCTGAAGACCCTTCCTGTCTGCGCCGGCGTGTTTCTTTGTACCGGAGTGTGATGTCACTGTCAACACAGAACACTTGGTCAGTTAACATGTTAGTCAGGACATTTAATCACTTCCTAAATCTTTAATTAATATATACAATACGCTACCAAACTATTATTTTTGCAGCATATAATATTGCACCTGCAGCAGTTTTTTTTAGGATGACTTCCTGATTCTGACAATTAAATAAATACATTTATTTTATATGCATATATACATACATATATGTTGCAGATTATCTACAATGTGTGTATATCAATTTTTACAAATAACAAACTTAAACAAAATTCTCATAATATATACACACACACACACACACATATATATACACACTAGGGGTGTAACGGTACACGTATTCGTACCGAACCGTTTCTGCATACAATTTTTAATTTTTTATTTATTATTATTATTATTTTTAAGTTGAGTGTTGATCATCTATTTAAAAATAAATAGCAATTAAATTTAAGTTTGGGTAAAGTTGTTAGGCCTAATTGTAACCTTTATAATGCAAAAGGGCTCCCAGTTTTAAGCATGAGCTGAGGTAGATTTTTATCACTAAGAAAATTTAAACTATAACTGAATGTATTTAAAGAAAGAGCAACTTGTTCAGTAAACCATTTAAAAAAAAAAAAAAGTTTAGTTTTTCCCCCTGCTGTACCGAAATCATACCGAACCGTGACGTTAAAACCGAGGTACGTAACGAACTGTCATATTTGTGTACCGTTACCCTAATACACATTATTCTTAAAAAAAATTATAAGCAGAATAGTATATACTGGGGCAGTATACATGTAAATACCATTCTGAAAAGAGCCTTGATAGTCATTTTGACTATTTGGATATGATTTATCTTCCAATGAAAGCTTGAAAATTATATTTTGTGCAAGAAATTAATTTATTATTAATAATTAGGGCTGGGATAATAAATCAATGCATTGCAAATCGAGTAATTACTCTGCATCGATTCTGAGATTTTCCGAATGCATCACGATTCTCTCTTGAATCGATTCTGAGCTTAGTTTTGAACAGCTGATGGCACCGTGTGCTTTAGAAACAGCCATACTCTAGCTTGATTCCAGTTTCTTACACACAAAACACTTGAACATAAAATAATAATTCCTACAGTTGAAGCGAATTACAAGGATGTTCATAGTGGGCTGTTTACATTAATCTCACATCATAAAAGCTGAGGTGCAAGTACATAACCACTTACATGACTCAGCCGAACACACAAGGGTTCTTCTCCATGAGCGTTTGAGAGTGCAGTTAAAAACTAGCCTAGAGCACCATCTGCTGTTAAAAACTAAGCTCAGAATCGATTCCAGAGAGAATCGTATTGCATTCCGAAAATCTCAGAATCGGTCCACGAATCACGATGCAGCGATTTATTGTCCCAGCCCTATTAATAAAAATTATTTTATTTTGCTATCGTGCTTATGGAGATGATTTGCAGGTTTATTACCGGATGAAGAACCGCCACAAGGTCCAAATGAGGATGAGGACGATTCCGAGTATCCAGCATTGTGTGATGAAGAAGGGGATTGGCAGCATGATGGTGTTGGGATCGTATTTGACCACGATCAGAAACTCCGTAACAGTGATGGCTGCCACAATCCACGCTTGCTGGCCCAACTTTTTATGGAATTTCCTAGAATCCAAATGAAACATTAGATTTACTTACTACAAACACAGTTAACACACAATAAATGTATGGCAGCACAGAAAAAAACCCAGTTCCTAGTGAGCTGCCTAACTAGGTCATATTTTTAGGCCTCATTAACATGAAAAAAAAAGCCACTCCAAACAACAAAAATCTTGTAAATGACTTCCAAAATAGAAGGAAGAATTGAGGGAAACTGATTTTAAACACAAATTAACTTTCACCCAATAAATGTGCATCAAAAGCATCAAATCATTATCTTAGCAACATGCAAATCAACTTTCCACTGGATTGAGATGTTAACGAAACCGCTGCTTGCGTCAGATTAAAGGAATAGTTCATCCAAAAAGGAAAATTTGCTGAAAGTTTACTCACCCCCCTCAGGTCATCCTAGATGTACTGTAGATGTTGGTTTCTTCATCGGTACAGATTTGGAGAAATTTAGCATTACATCACTTGCTCACCAATGGATCCTCTGCAGTGAATGGGTGCCGTCAGAATGGGAGTCCAAACAGCTAATAAAAACATCACAATAATCTACACGACTCCCATCCATCAATTAACATCTTGTGAAGCAAAAATCTGCATGTTTATAATAAGCTTTTCACTTCACAAGACATTAAATGACGAACTGGAATCGTGTGGATTATTGGTGAGCAAGTGATGTAATGTGATGTAAGAATGAAACAAACAAACACCTCTACATCCTGGATGGCCTGAAGTTGAGTAAAATTTCTTTTTTGGGTGAGCTGTTCCTTTAAGCCAGAATGCTGTCTTAGAAGGTAGCAGCCTACATAGACAACAGATCTAGAGTGAACTTACGGATCATCCATGAAGTCGTAGATCTCTCGCATAGCCACTCCACCCACATTCACAAAGAAGATGAGCCGCAGAAGCACCAGATAATGTTCAGGAGGCATCCACAACACAAACTTCAAATAGAACGTATTCAGCTCCGCCAATAAGAACTGCAAATAAGTGAAAGAAAATGGCATCATTTTTCATTCAAAATCATTGTGCAGTGATTGCATGTACTGATCATGTGACTCACTGTGAAAATAATACCCAACACCGCCAGCCATCTTCGCAGGTTAGAAGCGGGGCGCCACTCAAACTTCACCCAGCTGTACGGGGTAAACTGGAAGGCAATACGTTTGATTTTCCCCCTGAAACACAAAACTGCAGAATGTCATAACAGTTCAGTGTGTTTGACCTGCAGACACGTCTTTTCAGAGGTTTATCGTGTTTTTACTTGTATGTTGGGATGTTCCACAATCCCTGCCACTGATATGGCTTCATGGAGAGCCAACCGAGAGTCTTCATGCCACAGTATATGCCCAACCCATTACACACCAACACATCCATGATCCACTGCAGCAGGAGAGAGTCACTTCATGAGGATTTGTTTTATCTGCATGATTCACAGGGTGTATTTGGTTTGTTTTACTCACATGGTCCCACCAGCACTCAGAGAAGTTGGGCAGCTGGTGTTCGAGACTGTACTCCAGGAACTCAAACATCACACTGATGATCATACACATCCACCAGTCCCTGATCACCAGCGTCTGACACACACAGACATAAAACACATAACTAATAGTTTCTAATTCAGTTTTTTGATGCCATCTGCTGATTTTAGGTGTGTGGTAGCGCGTTCACAGATCAGATTTTGACCAACCTTAATGTACCAGCCGAGAAAATGGGCAGGAACAAATCCATCCATTTTGTCCTGTTGGGAAAATAATAAAATAATAATAAAAATAACCCAAATTTTTTCCTGCTGCAAAATCAAACTCAAGTATTAAATACAACATGAAATTAAAATGTGCTCTATTTCTTTAAATAAATGACCTTGGCCTTACCAATTGATCAGTGCATGTTATTTTAAAGAAAAAAAATGTTCATATTAAATTTTTTTTAAATATTCGGTTTGATTTGGAAATACATCAAATTACAGAATTAAATACTGATTCATGTTGTTTCTACATAGCTGTGCTAGTTTTATGTCTCTAATATCACACTGTATCCTCTTAATAATATTTCAATTTATATCGATATTTCATGTCTATTTATTTATTTAGAAAATAACCATGTAAGAGTAGGATAATGTACAGTCAGACAGTCATCATCATTACAGAGGTTATTGTCATACACAAATGACTGTACATTATCTGTAACAATGTATATGCATAATAAATCTGTGATGAATGATCAGATGGATATTTAAGTGACTAGCCATATGCGCAACCCTCTGTAACGGATGCATCTGTATTACCAGTGTCAATGTCGTTTATTAATATTGATTTTAATACATACCCAGATATTGTGGAAGGGGTCGGCAGGATGTCCAGGGTCATAAATGAGGCAGTTCCCGCCATAACCTCTTTCAGGAAGAGGGATGCCAAGTTTTGGGTCAATGTATTTCATAAACTGCCTGCCATCATGCACTGTCTGAAAGACAAATCAGAAATTTCAATATGACACAATATGGACAAAATATATGTAAAGTTGTGTTTTTGAAGCTGATAACAAACCTGAAACAGGATGAAGATGAGAAAGAGTTCATACACAACAGAAACGCATAGCCAGAAACGCCAGTATGCTGCAAAGACAAACACTTACCCATAAACATTAACTCTCATTTAAACATATAAAAGCACTAAAAATACTGATGCGCTAATATACAAATAACTATAGAATTGTGGGGGGTTTATGTTGGATGATTGAAATGTTTGTTTTCTGTATCACGCCTGAACTATTACAATTCATCTGCTTTTGGGTTATTGGGGTGTGTTGATTATTTAAGATTGTATGGCTACTTTGCCATATCATCAGAAATATTATTTTCATGGCAAACTCAAAATAGTACAAATTATAAATGAATCTCAATAACAATACAATTTCAGTTAAAAAATACAATTAAAGCCAATGTATTATAGAACTATTTTAAAATTACAGAAAATATTTTTCTTTCAGCAACATAAATATAGCAATTATTCAAGCTTTTTCAATGTTTCTGTGAGCCATCAGATACAATAATCAAGCATTTGGTCAATATGTAAAAAAGAAACGCAAACACCATTTTTTTTTTTTTAATTAACATGCTTGAATTAAGGAATTGAGATTAAGACGACCTCACATACTTCACTGGATTGAAATTTAACACCACTCACTGTGACAGTTAAGGTTTCTGCACACTGAGTCCGAATCTTTCATCCGAAATTTTCGCACGTTGAAAAATAAATACGACCTCACGTTGTGTCAATCACGTTTACACACTGCCTCCGAAACTTTCGTCCGTCATAAAAAAATTTGGACCAGGTTCGATTTTCTGCGTTTTCGCATCCGTAGCAAGCATTTTGATAGGAAAGGATGAGAATACGAAAAAAAAAAACGGAAAAACGCATACAAAAATTTCGGACTCAGTGTGCAAGGTCCTTTAGCCCAACTTATAATTTGTGTCTACATTTGTCTGTTATCTCGTGCCATTGAGAGGCTTCAATGACCGGAGGAGGAGACCTTCAATTATCTTTCAGGTTTCTGTGAGAGATGCATTGAAAGCTCTGATCCAGCTCGTCCAGCAAAGCAAGTCAGCCCTCATAACAGCGAGATCAACAGAGAGTGTTTTGGAGGAGTTGTGAGTTACTGTTGCTATGAAAGTATACTCATTGTTTCTTATGTTGAAACGGTCTCAGAAATCTACTTCATACAGTACCTTATCTTCTCATAATTTAAAGAAGTTAAACTACTGTCAATCTACGTCTTTGATTAGTTAGCTATGTTACAAATTAGTAAGTAGCAGCTACTACAAAAGCTATGTTTCTCAGGCACACAAAGATGATTTACAGTGAAAGCATCAAACTCAAACACAAATTTACAATAGGGCTGCGAAATGCACATTGCCATTTTTCCCAATAAAAATTCTAACTGCAATTTTAAATGTAATTTTGGGCTGCACAAAAAAAGTAGTAGTAGTAGTTATTTAATTTTATTTCCATGTCAGCATCTAAGGCTATCTTCATGGCAAAAACGGAGTTGGAATAATAAAAGAGTTACAAACACAAAATAAAAAATACAGCAGATAAAATAACACAAGGTTTTTTAAATTAACATATGATAAAAAAAAAAAAATCTAAAGTCTTTTCTGGTAAAACCTTACTGAACACATCCCTGAGTGACTTAAGAAAAAAAAAATCTTGTTTTTTTTTAGGACTGCAGAACTTGTCCAAAAAGTACGATTATATAGAAATAAAACAAACTTAACATTATTTATATTAGGGTGCTGATTACTACTCAATAGAATTATTAATAATATTGTAAACACTATAAAATTATTGTAAATTATTGTAACATTTCACTGTAAAAAAAAAACATATTTAAGATAAAATTTACTATACAGAACTGTAAAATTACAATTACAATATTTATACCACTATTTATTTATTCTTAAGTGTGCAGCCTTAATTTACGGTAAAAATAACTTCTGAAAACTCCTACATAATCAATTCTAAAAAAGGGATCATCTGCAGTTGAATTATTTACCTTTATACTGCAACACAAAAGAAAACATAAAATGCCATGTACAGACTTCTGGGAACACTACTGAGTGACTCAAATGACTGAGAAGACAAATGAATCAGTCTTCTCAACATGACTTGCAAGGCACCTTTAGAAGACTATATGATGATTGCATCAGCTCACACAATTGTAATGCAATGTGAAAAACAATGATGTATTTGTTTAGTCACGCATCACTGTTAGTTGTTGGAAAGCGTGTTACTGGAAAAGCTGTGTTATTCTTAAAACAGCTGAGTGACTGTCACATTACTGAAACCTGTGGTTAAGTCACTACTTTTAGCTACTCCACCTCAACAGCAGCAGGAGACCTCACAATTACAGCCTCTCAAAGCTGACCTGAAGGTGATGTGAAACCTGGGTTAAGGTTAAATCATCTCTGAATAAAGGTTACTGTTCTGACTTCAGTTAGGGTTAGATCATGTAAAGGTTACTGGTCTGACCTGGGTGAGGACGTGTGAAGGGTCCATCTTTAGCTTGTGTTACTCCAAAACAAAGGAACACCAGAATACTGGCCACAATTCCTCTGAAAAAGACAAAAAATACACAAATTAAAAACAAACACACTGGAGAAAATGTGAGTGGTTCTTTCGGTGTAAAATTCGCTGCCATGGTGTTTCTAGGACATTGCTAGGCAAATGCTAATGAATAGAATAGAAGAATGAATAGAAACAATGGCCGCCCACATTTTTAGTGACCTTGGTTCCAGGAATGTGTGATATAAACTTGCAACTGCTAGTTATAGAGTCAGAATTGCAAGATATAAAGTCGCAATCGCAAATGCAAGTTTCTCACAGTTCTGACTTTTTTCTCACAATTGAGAAAAATAAACTTGCAATTGCGAGTTGTAAAGTCCAATTTTAAGGATAATTGCGAGTAAGACTTTCTCAGAATTGCATGTTTGTGATTTATGATGCAATTCTGAGAAAAAAAAAGTCTGAATTATGAGATGAAAAGGCGCAATTGCATTTTTTATTCAGTGACGGAAATGGACTTCCATAGTTCTATGACTGGTGAAGAGTCGCTGCAGAATCATGGGAAATGTGTTTTTTTTTCACCAGGAAATCAATGATTTTAAGCAATACGCAAAATAATGAGGGCTGATGGCATCAACAAAAACATATTTCATCGATTAACAATCCTGCAGTAGGTCTGTCTTTAAAGGTTTATAAACTATCGTTCAAAATAAATAAAAACTAGGGCTGCACGATAAATCGCATGCGATATTTAATGCGCATCTTGTCAGTAAAGCCGGTTCTGTAATCAGCGGTAAATCTCCATCACCTGCTTTCAGATGGAGCAGTATTTACTACACAGAGCCGTAGTTCACTGACCAAGATGCGCGTTAAATATCGCATGCGATTTATCGTGCAGCCCTAATCAAAACCCGACTTTAGTTATTTAAGTGTGTCAGGTGGTCGTCTCACAAAGATCAATACTTGGGGTTGGTTCAAAACTAGCAAGAACTGCTAATAAATCTACACACTGTATATTTATACTGAAATACTAGCTGCTCTTTCTTCTGATAAAGGTCATGTGCGTTGAAGCACAGCAGGTCAGTCCGTGACCTGGACTTTGTGATCAGCAGCAGATGTCACACACAATCCTGTTAGCCAATAGAAAGCATGCCACTTGCCAAGGCCATCCCAGCTACAGCCATGTGGCATTTCTGTCCACATCGGACCACTTTAACTTTAGCTTCTGCTCAGGAGGAAATGGTGCGTGTCATTCTCTGGCGCTGTGAACTGAATTCTGGTCTCTGCTAAAGGTAAAGGACACACAGACTGCATGCCAGTCATACCTTTTAGTGTTGTACGCCGTGTCATGTGGCGTCTCCTCCAATAGTGTCACATAAACCAGAACACATGTCAGGATGAACAGCACGGTCACAGTATGTGCCCTCCTGCAGAGAAAAAGATGAAACAAGAGTACAGTGCTTGCATTCAAACATTATTGGCAGAAGTCTGGTTTGAGATTTTTTCCACATTCAAAACCTGCTGAGCTGGTATACAGGTTGATCATAAACACAACCACACCTCCACACACACACACACACACACACACACACACACACACACACGGGGAAGAGAGAAGAGATCAGTACAGCAGTTTATTACAGCAAATCCAGTTCTTGGAATTGATTTTCAAGAGGCAATTTGACCTTTAAGAGGTCAAGTTTTTATTCTCAACATTTATGGCTGTTACCTATAAAAGCAAACAGAAAATGAAGGTAGCCTTAAATAATAACTTTTCAAAGCCTTTTAATTGAGAAAAGCATAGCATTTAAAGGGGTACTTCACCCAAAAAAGTCAAGTCAAGACAACACTACTGTTTTGAACAAAAATAAATAAATAAAATAACAAAACAACTAAATAAATAAATAACTAAATATATATGATATATATAGTATTTTGGGAAAATCATCACTTTAGGCCTTACAATTTACAATACAACAAAGAAAAACAATTAGTACTATTGGATTTCTATTTCTATTATTATCATCATCATCATCATCATCATAAATATTAACAACGATCATTTGATTTATAGTAATCTGATTACATTAATTACTGCATTAAAAATCAAGATTAAAAACAAAAACAACTTCTGAATATTGGCTGAAAACTAAAACAAACAATTTATGCAGACAATTAGCATAAATGTTATTGGATTATTATTATGAATATTATCAACACAATAATTATTAAGATTATTATTAATATTATAATTATTGAGATTAACAAAAACATTATTATTAATATTATTATTTTAGTAATTTGGGATTCTTTGTGATATTATGAAATATATCAAATGTCACTCTTCGTTTAACGTTTATAAATCTATACACCGATCTGTCGTGTTTTTCTTCTTTACAGTTCGGTTTAAGAGACTAGGAGAGAAAGAGTCTCTTCCACAGCATCTGTCCGTCTTAAAGTCTTTAATTGATCGAGTGTCATTCTGCTGAGGTTGCAGAAGAGAAAAGCCGAGCAAAGCTGAACAGCCTCTGGACATCACACACACACACACACACACACACACAACATCATATCCCTACCTACACACATTCACCACAGAAAGGCAATGAAATCAAAGAACACACAATCAGTTAATAAACATAAACATCACCATAACATGAGTGGGGTGAACTCACCAGAAGAACGTGTTGGTTCCATCATCGAACACTTCACACTCAGAGCGGCCAGTTAACTGGATATCATCTGTGCCTGACCTCTTCCACTCACCTTTAGCCATCACGGCAGAGCTTAAACTAAACCTGAACTAAACTAAACCTAACCCACCTGTGATTTCCCTGACAACTGTCTAAAGCCAACACACATGAACCAAACTTACCCTCACACAACACACATATGACTTCCAACCTAAACTTAACAGACACCTGTGACAACTAAACCTAGTTGACACCTGAACTATCTGTAACCCAGCTGACCTGTCATGTCAAACTGAACCTAACCAATAGACCTGTGCTGAACTGATTCAACTGACCTGCAACTAAACTGACCACTAACCCACCATACCCTTGCTGTGATTTACAACCAAACTAATCCTGACTAACTCGCCTGAAATTAAAACTCAATCCTAACCAACCCAAACCCAACTCACTTGCGCTGAGATTTAAGCCTGAACTAACTAAACCAGAATAAATCGCTACAACCCAATAACTAACCCAAACCAACAAAGACTCACCTGAACTAGCTAAACCAGCGCAGCTGTGCGGAGACTTAAACCTGGAATAAAACATAAAACTACTCAAATCACAGTAAGCCACGAGCTCGTGCGCGTCCCATCACTAGCCGGTAACGGAGCGCGAGCGCATTAACCGCGAGGTTTTGAGAACCGGCAGGAAAATGACCTCTTCAAGCTTCATATATGAACGCAACGCGAACGCACCATCCTCTGAAAGCCAATAAAACGATTTTACCGAGTGCAGCAGGCGCACGCGCACCTCTCATGCGCTTCAGAAAAATATAACCATCGTAAGGTCGCGGGGCATGGCGTCATGTCCGCTCATCCCTCAAGGCGGCGTCACAAATGTGTGTGTTTGGTCATCAAAGCATGCGCACAACATGCCGCTCTGTTCTGCATCCACAATCAGTGATGAACACATCACTATGTATTTATTGTTTATTGTTTATGTATATGCATTTAATAAATGTGTAACGTACGAATAGTTGTAAGTATATTATACGAGTCTATACTTTATACATCTATTATATTATGCACACGGGTTTATTAAACATGAGCGCACTAACAATCTTTCAAATAAAGACTAACCGGTTTAAACACAGGATGACAGGTTATTAGGTGTGGTGGAAAGCTTTATATAATCATAAGAAATGTCCATCACATGATCACAGGAGACCATGAAAGTACATTAAACCAGGAACTTTAAAACTAATAGACGACAACACTGTGATAACATCCATACATTATGTAAGCAGTCTGTTTATGCACAACACATTATCTCCTGCTTTGGCGTAGTAATGGTGTTTCTGTTTACAACTCTAAAAGCTTTTACAGGAAGCAGATTCAGCGCAAATACAGCACTCAGTCAGTCTCAACATGTCAGTGGTTCTCAGCAGAGCTCAGTTCACTTATTTATAATTGTAAGGGTTAAACTGTACTATTACTAAGCCTTAACTCTGTGTCTCTCTCATAATAAACCTTGTTATATGTGCTTGTTGCAGAGCTAGATTTGTGTGTATTTGTTAGACTCCAATTCAGACTCATTTGTCCACTAATACATGCAGATTACAGAATATAAATATGATGAGTGAAGCCAGCAATTAACAAGGCCATAAACTTCTTATCTGATCTTATTTAGATTTGCCTCAAAGTTTATTTAACGTAATACTACACTGTGATTAAAAGGGGGCGCTGTTGCACTATTCACAGACACAAAGCTCAACTATAACGATTCATTTCTCTTTTTTTTTCTCTCTCTCCCTCAACTACAGACTCTTGACTCAGGGGTTGATTTTTATTGCTACAAGATTTCAACCCTTGTCTTTTTGTTATGCGAAGGTCAAATTAACACTGAACTGGAAAGTTTATGCTTTCATGATTTTATTATAAGTTTCTAACTTCATATTACGGTAATATCAATTAATATAATAAAGCACTGATTTAGATTTGCTACTTTTAAATACTTCAATCTTCAATCAGATTCTATTGTTTTTTTTTCCTTGTCCCAGACCCATATTTTAATATTAAAATATAAAAATACATAGTAAAAATATAAATTATTATATGTCTTAAAAAGTGTGAAATAAACACGTTGTAAATTTTTTTTTTGTTATTATATGAACATAATAATAAAATAATTGATAGTGTAGTTACTTGTTTACAAAGGACGAAACAGTGTCAGTGAAGAACGTGTTAAAATTAAATAAGAGACAATTTGATGAGAAATCGAAATAAATGTCACTTGAATAGAATGTTTTTATTGTGTATTATTCCAATCAAACCGTCAAATTATTTTTTTGTATATGACAGGCTACACACATATAGGCCTACCTACAACATATTCTTTAGAAAATAAGTTTTAAGCATCTAACTGAACACTTTTTGATGGCTATCGTTTTGATGTATTGGATTATAATTAGTTTTTAATTAGACGGTTATCTTTAGTTTAGCGTATTTTACTCCGGGTGGTGCAATGTGAGCGGCGGGGGAAAAAGCGCTAAAATTATACATTTAAACGAAGAGCGAAAGGCAACGATGCACAACCAATCACAACAGAATATATGCGGGTCTAACCAATCACAGAGGAGTAGAGGCGGGTCTAACAACAGAACCAAAAGGACGGGGGATGTTGACCAATAGGAGTAGAGCGTGTAGTTTTACACCGCTGAGGCGCAGGACTTTAAATCTGTCGAGATTAAATCACGGCCAGATCTGGAGCTTTACGATTTATAACGACGTGTGTTGTAATTCACACTGACTTTTTTGCCCTTTTTTAAAATTATTTAGCCCATTTTATTCTGGATTTGTCCGCTATCGACGATGTCTGCCGTCCTGCTTTCCACCATCGCCAGGGAAAGACTGGCTCCACCGAAAACTGTTCCTCAGAGGAGCGCAGAGATGCTTCCTCTACTGAAGAGCACGGGAACATGCAGAAATCTATTCGGCCCGGTGGATCACGACGAGCTGAGGCAAGAATTATCCTCCAAACTTCGCGAAATATCTGAACGAGATCAGCTGAGGTGGAACTTTAACTTCAGCGAAGGACAGCCGCTGGATGGGGATTTAAAATGGGAGGAAAGTCGAGCTGAGGACTGTCCGCGGTTCTACAGAGAAACGACTGCCGTATCAAAGAGGCCTTTTGTGGACTTGCCCACGACAGAAAGAATCCCCCAAGTTGCCCCAAAATGTGTGGGTCGTTCAATGAAGATTTTGAACCAAAGGAACCATATAAACAAGTGTAACCGAAGAAAATTATCTCGCAAAACAGTCGCTCGCGTCCAGACCAAGAGACTCGTAGACATGCGCATTACAGGTAACGCTAACTCAACAATACGCGCCCAATAATACTGCTATAAAATAAATACTAGTCATATAGCCTATAACAGAACAATGACAACACAGTGTTCGTGTTTTAATGTCGTGAATTTGTTTTCTTGTAGATTTTTATGGGAAGAGGAAGAAAACGGACAGTGTTCATAAGGAAAGCGGAAACTTGGAATAAAAACGCGTCTTCTGAAGAAAAAAAGCGCACCAATGCGTGCGTCACAGAGTGGTGGCGGGAAAAGGCCGGAAGTAATGACGTCTCAGAGTCTGACTCAAGTTATTGCGTGATAATGTGATTCTGGAATCGTATTTATTCACTGCTGTATGTGCCATTTAAACATGTAGAAGCAGCCCTGGTTGCTCTTTACAGTTTACAACTGATAAGTAACTTTAAATTAAAGTCAGGACAAGTAAGCCTATTTATTGTTGTTTTATTTATATATATATATATATATATATATATCAGCATGTATATATTTTGTAATGACCTAAGTTATTTATTTATTGTTTTTTCACTTTTACATTTACATTTCATGTGTATTTTGTGGTTGAAAATTTAGCTTTATTTTCTTGAGCAAAATCACAATCCTGAGCCATATTTGTCATTGTTGTAAAGATGTTCCTTTAATAAATGTGTACATATAAACTTAAGTTGTGTCTCGTCTAATCTGTGTTTTTTTCTATAGATATAATAGATATAATATTATCTATATTTTAAGATATAATAGTTAAAAATAAGTCTATTGTTCTTAATACCTTTACAAGCATACACTGTTGACTGGGGTCTTGTGACACAGAAAATCACAACTATTACCAAACATCTTGTAGATTTACAGTAACACACATCCAGCATAACAGTATTATTTGGGTCATTCTTGTTAAGTAATACCATTTGAGCTTTGTAGTTAAAAATGAATGCTGTTTTCTGGGTAAGTTCAGGAACAGAAACTCTTGATAACACAATGGTATGGAAATTATGTAAAAGCACACTGAAAAAAAATGGTGTAGAAATCATTTGTACTCAGAAATTGCTAGGAAATGTCACAATTATAAAGAAATGGCAAGAAACACATTAATTAAATATTTAATAAGACCGACAGCATTTTCTTGTAAAAACACAAAAATCGTTTTATTTACAAAAAAAAGTAGTTCAAAATTAAAGTTGTTCATTACTTAAGGGTCTCAACTTTTTGTTTTGTTAAAGTTTTAGTACTTTTGTTGTGTTCTTGTCATTTTTAGTAGTTTTTTATGTCTATAGTTTTTTATATAGCTTTATTTGTAGTTACTTTAGTAGCAACAAGTTAAACTAAATTAAAATGAGAAATGTTGCCTTGGCAACTCGATTTTTTTACAGCTTTTATTTTATTTTATTTCAAACAATTTTTCCCAATAGTTTCAATTTTACTTTTACATAACCTATAGGCTAACTATAATAACCCTGATAATATAGGCTATACATAATAGGATGGAATATGTGAGGCAAATATTTTTGAGTTTTTCTCACCAAAATTATGTCACTTTTTCAAGGACAGTGTCACTGGCCTTTGTTTTGTGTTTGTGTTTGTGTGTGTGTGTGTGTGTGTGTGTGTGTGTGTAAGGACTAAAAGAATGGAAAGAGAAATCGAGGACACAGATTATCAACTAAAACAATGTTTACAAGAAAACATGTTTGAAAACATTTCGATTATGCTATAAAAATACATTTAAATACATTTTAAAAATCGTGGAATAATTGTTAATATTTTGACTATCTTTCACGTTAGAACTTAGCATCAAAATGGCAACATTATTTTAAACCAAGGTAATAACACAAACCTCACGATTTGAGGTATCATACTGTCCGCAGCCCAGACATCGTCAGCCTAATACTAGGATTAGTGGTTTGTTTAAATTGCCTTTGCAAGCACAACTGAAAGAAAGAAAATGGCGTCGGGGGAGGGGAGGGGACTGAATGTTTTCAAGACCACATAGGCAGAACAAAAGCGGCTCGAAAACGAGCGGGAGAGATGAAAAGAAAGGATGAGAGCGTGCCATCTCGCTTTGACCTGCAAATTAGGCCGAATTAAAGCTCTGTGACCCGCACGCTCCTCCCACATCTCCCGCGAAAACACCTGCTGGAGCGCGTGCTGCATACTTAAACACAGAGACTCGCCGGTGATCTGCTTAATATTCATGCGTTTAACAATAACATCTGTATGACAGAGAGCCCATCTTCACTCTCAGACAGCAAACAGCTGAGCTCAAAATGTCCCCATTGTAGCTTTACACTGTTAGGGCCTATTATTTGTACAAATCTCGTTTTTTTCTCTCAGAGTTCCTAATCCCAGACCAGTTTCTGATTGCATTCGCTTGACTTCAAATTCAAAATATCAAAGCTCACCTAAAAATACAAAGGACTTAGGGTACCTGTACAAACAAGATAAAAGAAACGCCAGATAAAAGAACCAGCATATATGAGTTGAATGGAACAGGAAGGACCATCTGACTCCAATTACTTTTAACTGAT